AATACTCATTTTATTTCAAACCAACTTCAATCTGGCCAAGTCAAATCACTCTAGCAACAATTCTATTTTGATGCATTTATCCAGCAGTGCAGAGCATGAAGTGAGGATTTGTTATAATTTTTGGATTCAACCCATTGACTCGTGGTTATGGTTGAAATGGTACAAGTCTATTGTACTGTCAGTGAAAAATGCAGAGTTTCTTTCAGTAAGAAAAAACAGTCGTAGTAAAATATAAGCAAGAAATTTCTTCTTGGTATCATTCACTATTGACTGTGTTAGCTGTGAAGTTCTATAGACCTGAGGAATGTTTTGTGAACACTAAATTTGCCTTTCTTCCATTGATACAAATCTGTAGGGTATTAGTTTTCACTGCAGACCTTGCCTTGCTCTCACTTTATTTATTGAAGAACCTGTATAGGATAAAATCAGTTTTTAGGTCAAATCAGTTAAAACTGGTAATAAACTATAAGCAGAAAAGCTTTTACTGTATATCCTATGTATTACTGTGCATATTATGTCAGCTTTTTTTGTTTCCATTAGTGATAACCATTTCTGCAATTAGCAAGGACAACACTAATACAAAAATGGCAAAACAGCTGCACTGGGAAGATGAAAATGGCTTATTTTCCTCTGCTTTCCTCCCCCACTGCCCGTGGACATACATAAAGTCCTGAACACTGACGGAAGAGTTTCCCTCCTCTCGATTGTAAGGCCTGTCTTCACTAGGTTTGGCCCAGCAAGTTCTCTCCTTCCTGCTCTCTTGCTGTGCCTCCCAGAGTCATGTAGTCCCTTAGATCCTCTCTCTGTCTCCTTAGCTATGGTGTTTGATAGGGCATGTTGTCTTGGGTAAGCTTCAATTTCCTCTGCCTGATTTTCTGACAGACTAGGGGTTTAACTGCACATTTTGCTAATCTAATGGTGTTTGGCACACTTCTGGGCTTTAAATTGTTCTTTACCTAGCCACAGATTAAAAGTCTGGCTCACAGCAGCTGTTAACACTTGTTTTCCAGCATCATAATAAATAAATTTCATTTCAAAGAGCAAACACATCTCTTCTTTGCAAGGTCAATGTTTTATACTTGTGTCTTGATCACTTTCCCAGTGTGTACCTGTCCTGCACCTGCAGTGGGCAGATCTTCATCCCTTGAATGTCTTGCTGCTCTTTCATGTGAACTGTATAAAAAGTGTATCAGATAACCCTAGAAGGGTTTGGGTTGGAAGGGACCTTAAAGATCATCTATCTCTAAACCCCCTGCCAAGGACAGAGACACCTAGACCAGGTTGCTCAGAGCTCCATCCACCTTGGCCTTGAACACTGCCAGGGATGGAGCAGCCACAGCTTCTCTGGGCAACCTGTTCCAGTCTCTAACCATCCTCACAATAAAGAATTTCTTCCTAATATCTGATCTAAATCTACCCTCCTTCAACTTAAACCAGTGTCCCTTGTCCTATCACTGCATATATGCAGAAAGATGAGGAAGAGAGGACAACAAAAAATAGTCATGTTACGGTTGCAGATATGATGAACTGAACATCATACCAGTAGTTTTACTATAGTAAATTCTCTAAAACTTGGTAGTATTATACCTGGTGATTTTTCCCCCTCTTGTTCTAACTGGGCATGATTGTGGCTGTAGCTTATAACACTGACATGACCCATCCAGCTGAAGAAAGAGTAGAGCACAGGGACTTGACAGTGAGTTTTACTTTCAGTTTTACCTTCTTAATCCCTTCAGTTGTTGGGCAATAGAGCATCTCCTGCCCATAATCATGATGCTTGATGATGCTTGTGGGAATGAGGATCTGGGGAGGGAGGATGTAGTTCTGACTTGACTGAATTGCCTGACATCTCAAAAATCTGTCAGGAAGGAACTGAACCATGTTTTAACAGGCTGAGGCTTTAGCCCTAGCTTGGTTTAATACAAGTCACACAGATTTCAAGTGTGTGCCATCACACTAGGCTGAAAGCTGACTTCACCCTCCTCTTAGGCTTGTTGAGTAACATTCAGTGCCTGCTATTCATTAGTGCATTGAAGTTCCAGATGGATGAATTTCTGGAGAGAATGCTTTAGTAAACACTGCAAGTAAAACATTGTATAGCCCTTTCCTGTTTTAATGACATTACAGTCTTTTAGGGAGACACTGTTTATTCCAAGAATTTGTTTCTGTGCCACAGTTCAGTGTTGTTGCTCCTGCTGAGAGAACAAAAGGTACTTGACTGGAACTGACCCTGGTCATGGTCCATTGGAGAGGTGATGGCCTTTCCCTTTTCTGATCCAGCAAACTGATGCTTGACAGGGTTTGTGTCGGTCACATGTATCTAACCTTTAAGGCTGTGGAGCCAGTACCTGAAGTAACCTCTCAACAGGAGAAGGACATGGACTTGCTGGAGTGAGACCAGAGGATGACATGAAGATGATCAAAGGCTGGAGCACTTCTGTGGAGACAGGCTGAGAGAGCTGGGGTTGTTCAGCTTGGAGAAAAGGAAGCTCCAGGGAGACCTTATAGCACCTTCCAGTACTTAGAGGGGGTCACAAGATTGCTGGAGAGGAACTTTTTACAAGGACATGGAGTGACAGGACAAGGGGAATGGCTTCAGACTGAAAGAGGACAGGTTTAGATTAGAATTTAGGAAAAGATTCTTTACTGTGAGGGTGGTGAGACACTGGAACAGACTGCCCAGAGAAGCTGTGGTTGTCCCATCCCTGGAGGTGTTCCAGGCCAGGAACCAGCAACCAGGTCTAGTGGAATATGTCCCTGCCCCATGGCAGGGGGTTTGGAACTAGATCATCTTTAAGGCCATTTCCAACCCAAACCATTCTGTGATCAGCAAGGAGAGGTTTTTGTCACAGGACACAACACACATCATCCTGATTTTCCTGTGTGGCTTCTTATTTGGACTATTGATGCTCTTTGTGGGCTGGTGGTGCTGTCTAAAAATCTACAAATCTTTTTGCTAACCCTGTGCATCATAGAACCAAGCATTTTTCTGATGCAGGTATGAAGAATGCTGTTAGCCTACCTAGAACTTGGTTCAGATGTGACTCTGCAGGGACCCAAAGCTTTTCTGCTGCAGTTGTGCAGCCTTAGTGCTGAGCATCACAAATAAACACAGAATACAAAGGGTCTAAAGATGCTGCCAGCTCTAAAAGCAGGATTTTTCTCTTAGTAGCTGTATCTTCAAGTGGGATACTTGCTGGAAAGGACAGTTTGAAGAACTGAGTTCAGGCAAGTTCCTTTCTTTGCTCCAGTGAACAATCATAACTCTAGGTTAGAGCAAGACACTGCCCTTCCTGGTGGTGCCTGGAAGGCAGATCAGGAACAAGTTTCTTCACCCTTTGGCAATCTTGATTTAACACAAGGAAGCAGCAGAGTAAAACAAAAACACAACTTTAAAGAGCCAAAGTCCAAATTTTTACAAAATTTATTCCCTTAATTTTATATACATTAATTACAGACTAATGTACAAAGGTGTAAATGGTCTTTGCTGTGAGTTGTTGTGCAGATGCAGCTTAGTAGACAGATTTAACATTCAATTTGAATCTCAGTGCAAGTAGGCACTAAAACATCCAACATACCTCCAAGGTATAAAAAGACATAACAGTTTTACAGGTTTCTCCAGCATATTTTGTTACAGTGCAAAATGCTTTGAAATAAGGTTTCTTTAGAAAATTCATATAAATTAAACACATATTGCACTTGTCCCAACCAAAAGTGTAACAAGTTGTACTTACTGAACAAGTTTTAGGGTTTTTTTTAAAACATTCCTCACACACATGCATTCCTTCCTCCTGCTATTTGTGCCAAATATGTGTAGTTTTCATCTCAAACCTTAAAGAACTGATTAATGCAATCCTTCTTGAACAGACTGCTAAAAAAAAAAAAAAGAATCACAGCAGATTAATGTAACAAGAAAATTTCTCCAAAACCCTTTCCAGTCTTCTTTCCAGTAGCACTGTAACTAAACACATAAAAATCAGTATTGTTTCAATTCATAATGCCAAGTGTATTGAACAGCAACCATTTCAGACATTTACACCCCTATTTTCTGGGAAGGTAAGGAACCCCCAGTTCTACTTATGTAGGTATTTCTACAGTACTTGGAGCTGCTAAGCTAACATTGCACCCACAAACATTTTGTGCAATACCACAGGCAGGACTTTGACTTCTGTACATCACTGGCTGCTATGGGGCACGTTGGGAGAAGTGGTGCAAAGCTGCATTTAACTTCAGAGAACAAAGTCTGCTTGGGCTGAACTACTCAATACAGTCCGTGCACCCACCCAAGGAGAAACAGAGGTGAAGGCAAATAACATCAGTCTTACCAGATTGGAGTTTCCCTAAATCCTTCCAAGCCTTGAGATTTAAAGGAACAAGTGCATTTGAGTAACTTTGTGCTTAAGATACTTACTCAAAGCTGAAAGGTTAAGGAAGTAACTTAGGTACAAATTTTTTTGTTGTTTATTTGTTTTTGGTTTTTTGCAAACCAGTATGACCAAAACTGCTTCTAAAACCACTGATATATAAAAGCAGAGGAAAAGTAAAACACATGACTAGCTCAATGCTAGTCTTAACAGTTTGGGGTTACCTGCAAAATGCCTCCACAATATTTACTCCTCCTACTTCACCTTAGAGGAGTATCCTCACTCCTGTCACGTACAAAACGAGCATTTCTTTCACCAAAACATTTCTGCATTCAACTCCTTCAGAACACAAGTGGAAGAAATCCTGATTTCTGGTGCTTCCACACCCTCCAGATCCTCCTCTGGAACCAACAACAGCAACTTCCTAAAGGCAGGTCCCCATCTGACTTGATTAGATATGAAGTCCTGAATAAGGCAAGATGCTGTTTATACAAGTAATGATATGAAATCCTAATTTGACACGTTTTAGGAGTTCTTTATACAGATAAGATACATTTACACTACTTGTGCGGGTCAAGAGTTCATGTGGAACAAAGCCCACCCAGCCAGACTTTGGAGGAGAACATCAGGTAAGGTTCACAAACTGGAAGGCTGATGGATTACTGGAGCTGCTTCACACTCAGGAAGGTTGTCTTCTGACCTCATGTACATTAGGAAGACAGTGACAGTAGCAAAGGTAGCTGCGTTGACAGGGAAAGCACGGAGGAGTGTGGAAGTGAGACCTCTGGTGAACACCCTCCAGCCTTCTTCATGGTAACTCTTCCTGACACAGTCTAGAATGCCATTGTACTGTGTAACACCTCCAACTCCATCGGCCTGAAGCCTGGATTTGATCACATCCACGGGATAGGTTGAAAGCCAGGACACGATTCCTGACATCCCTCCAGAAAACAGCAGTTTGGGAATAACGTAACTGTCTTCAGCTTCGCAGCCTAAATACCTAGTCATGCAGTCATAGGTCAGGAAGTAAAAGCCAAAGCTTGGAGTTTCTCTTATGAATGTAGAGACCATGCCCCTGTTGATGCCTCTCAGCCCTTCCTTTTGATAGATTTTGACCAGACAATCCAGAGAATTCTTGTAGTTCTTCATTTTCAGTTTGTATTGTCCTGTTCCCTGAAGCTGCATTCGTGTCTTTGCCAGCTCCATGGGGCAGCAGATGACACACTGGATTGCCCCTGCTGCTGACCCTGCAATGAACTGGTTTAGAGGAGTGTCTTTGCCAAGAGCACGAAGCGTGTTCCCTTGCACACCAAACACGAGGGCGTTAATGAACGTGAGTCCCATCATGGGTGACCCAATACCTTTATAGAGTCCAAGAGCCTAATGGAAGAAGGAAGGAAAAACCCTTTTTAACAGTGGTGGTGATAACCTTCTGAAACTGCAGAGCATGTCCTTTCTGGCTCTCCCTTCTGCTCTAACTTTCTACAAGTGGCCACCTTGCTCTGTAATAAAAATCTCATCTCTGCCTATGACACAAACATCTAAACAACTAAGCACTACAAATCATTGAGCACACCCAGAAAATAATCTCAGTCCACCCAGAGTAAAGTTTTTTTGGCAAGTTTTATGCATTAGATTTGGAAGTAGCTAAAAGTATAAAACTCATTCTTTTAGCTATGGTCTTAAACCTCCAGCAGCAAAAACACCTCACCAATTTCTTCACTCATTGCTTCGATTCTCAGAAAAACCAGTTATTCAAGTAACTTATTATTTTATTGAAAAAGTTAACATTAAAATACCAACTTGGTCAACTTCTTCACAAAGTTTCTAGCAAACTGCTGACTACAGGATCTGCCCTACAGTCAGGTGATGTTCAGAGTATCCTTCTCTCTTGACCTTCAGTATTTGTAGGGTCTTTTTAACAGCTTTCCCACCCTTCTGATCCAAAACATGAAGAGAAAAGCAATAATTTTGTACTTACAGATTCTTGCTTTATGATGGACTGAAAGCAATGGAAAGTCCCACGGTAGAGAGGTTTCTCTACATTTTGAACTTGTAGACGAACCTACAAAGAGTTGTGTGAGACACCAATTTGTACATCAGGAACAGCCTAATGGGTAAACTAGTGTCTTGTACCTAGGTGGAGATTTGCTCTAGCAATGTGTATGCAAGAGGCTGCACACTGGAATGCCATGTGTGGCAAAATCGCTTTCAAATCTTGGAAATAATTTTAAGGGGGGGGGGAAACGTGAAGGGAGGAGGATTATTGATGTCTCGTGACTATTAGAAAACCAATATTTGGAAGGGCACATTGTTATCTAGAGTTTCAGATAGAGGTTTTTTCAGTGCTGGCTACAATAGGTACTTTCTTTAGCTGCCAAGAAGTCTTCTGTTCTCACTAAGGAGTATCTGTACAAACCTGACGGAATTTTATTATCTGCAAGTCAAGCATGAAATAAGGATAATTTGAAAAGGATGGAAACTTTCACCAGCACCCAGAGTGTTTCTGAACTACCACATCTGGGCCCTTTCACTGAGATCTGATTTTTTTTTTTCAGAGGGTAACTGGGCAGTGACCCCTAAGATAAGTCTTTGCACAAGGGAAGGAATAAAAAGCCACTTGTCCTTTTAAATTTTACCCTTTTATTTTTCAACTGCTGAACTCAGGCAGTTGGTGATGATGTGGCTGATTCAAAGCTTTAATATTAGTAATCAATTAACTTTTACAAAACTGAAGTGGTATGTTCTGCTGGGCAGAGAGATGCTGCTGTAACTGGTGACCTTAGGAGACAGGAACTTTTTTCTGGATGTTTTTTAACCTTTAATGGAAAAGTCCAATTCTGTGGGGGTTTTTTTCCTGCTAATTTGCCCTCAGCATGCTTGAAAAAGTCTCAATTCTACGTAGCTCAGGCAAAGTCCTACACTGCAATAAACTCCACAGATTGGTTTCACTGGATTGATGAAGTTATAAATCTTTCATTTCCAGCATGGAGTGCTACAATATCCCTCAGAAAAAATGCTTAGCAACCACTTAATGCTGCTGCTGCAGCTCCATGGCAAAAAACCCCTTCAAGACTCTTATTCTGAGCAAAAGAAAATATTATCATGTCATGTGAAAGATTCCTGAACTTTATTTTTATCTGTGCTTGCCTAAAGTAATAAAAACCACCAGCACAGCAATGAGATGTGAGGCTAGGAAAGGACTGGTGGAGGTGGTTTGTCAAAATCCTATACTCAGCTTAGCTTTCTTTGAAGCAAAAATAAATCATTTACCCTTGTAGTGTTTTCTAATGTTCCTACAAAATGGCATTTTATGCTTTGTGAAGCAAAACTCCAGTTTTCAGGGTCTTTTTAGTGTACACATATGCTAGCCATGCTGGGAGGCCAAAATCACCTCAGGCCTTAAAACATCTTGGTGCTAAAAGCAGGCTCACAGCAGGGTTCAAGGAAATAAATCCTTTGTTACCCAAAGGGATGTCTGGGGGGGGAGACAGGTTGTCAAAACTGTTAAAGGAGCAGGTCAACAAGCAAAGCCATAAATCTTAACCAGCTGTCCCCACTGCACAAAATGAAGGGTTTACTCCTTTTATAATTCACTACTATTGTTTCAAACCCTTTCTGTGAAGTCAGGGGACTTCCACATGTATGGGCTTGGGGAGATTTGCAGCTTAGGAACCTTCTTACTTCATCTTTTCTAGCTCTTGTGTTTAGTGGTTTAGAACTAGTCACGTTCCACATATGGGTTGAATTTCTGAGTGACAGGCAGTTCCCACTAGTTTTGCCTAAATAAGTTGTGAAATACTGACCAATTAAGCTTTGTTGTAGGATAAAATGTTTAGAGAGCACTGGCTGATGATGAAAAATGTCTTTTTTGAGCACAGTGCTGGTCACACCAGGGTAGCTGCATTAGCAAACTGCCACGTAAGGCAATGAGTGCACAGGAAAACTTGATTTTGTGCATGTTAATTCCATATTCAACAAGCTCCTTAGTGTGTACAACTATAAGAAGGATGAATCAGGTGCAAAGTTTGACCATCTAGTCCATTCACTGCCCAATATTCTTACTTCCTTCTTATTAGAAACCACTGGGACTGAGGTTCTAGTAACACACAGTAATTTCACATCACTAAAGACCTGCAGAGAAGTCCTCAAGACATAAAAAACCCCAAACAGTCCAAACATTTAATAATGTGAAAAATAAGTGACTTTGAAGTGTTTGAGCAATAGAAATGTCCTCTGAGAATATGGATAAGACCTCAACAACAGTTGTGCCTGGGGTTCAGTTTTAGAGGCACCGTGTGTGGAAGTGTACACAGCCAGAAATGCATAGCAGAAAGAAGGTTCAGAATAAAACTTTACATTAGAAAAAAAAGAAAACCAAAACCAAAGGGATATCTAAACCCCACTCCCTCCATGCCATAGCTGTAGAAGAGGGAAACATCAGTTTAAAACTAAAAAAGGGAAAAAGCTTCATAAGCCTTTCAGATCTTTACTTGAACTAATACATTTGGGAATAAATTAAGACTGAGAGAAACAGAAGTGTTCACCTGGGCTATACTTACTAGGTAACTCTCCCGTGATGAGGCTTATCTGTCATCTACAACAAAGTAACACTTTTGCTGTTAATGAAGACAGCCCCTAGCTCAGAAAGTAAAGGCAGTTAAAAGCAAAAAAGCAATTTTATACATTACATCAACAAACCAGGGCTAAGGAGTTTTGCCAGCTCTGAGATCAGCTCAGTTGTGGGTTTTGCAGAGTGACTTCACCAGCTTCATTCCTCCCTGTGTGTCCCCCCATCCCCCTCCCAGCTCTGTGCAACGTGAGCACCGCCAAAAAAAGAGCTTAAATGCCAAGACAGAGGTAAAATTCCAGCTTATCTAAGCAGCTTTCCCATTGTTCAGTGATATTAAAAACGCAGTCTGAGGTGATTACAAGGTAGCCCTCTAAACACTGCAGAATTAAAGAGTTAATGCTTAACACATATACATACACAAGTTATGCAATTTCCTTTTTTTTTTTTTTTCTCTCCTTTAAAGACTGGTTAGAGTTAGTTTTCCCACAGACAGTGGTGACCGTGGCAGCTAATAACACAAATGTTAGTATTTGTTCTAACAACAGAGAGATAAATGCTTATAATACCTTCTAATGGATATGAAAATATCATGTGCCACGCTGGATTTCATAAAGCATTTAAAATCAATCCAAAACCAACCTATTTGCTCTATGGTAAAGCAAGATGCTTTTTTCTAAAGCCAACACATCTATTTTGCAACAATACATCTGCCCCAGTTTTTGCAGGCAGTTCAATGTTTAGTTTCATGCACTAGAAGCTGTTCCACTTTAAAAACAAAAGGCCCCACACATGGTTAACTTCAGTCTGAGCACAGAATTTTAGCAGCTTTCCTGGCTTCAGGGGAATGACCCTTCACCTTCAGTTAAGCACTAAAACTTGGCAGGATGGGGTGAGAGAAAAAGACAGCTGGCCCTGTACCATCAGAGGAAAAAAGCGAGTCTAGATAATACCATTCCTGAAAAGATATACTAGAATTCAACCCAATTACTTCATGATTAAATTGACTATATTCTAAGCAACAGACAGACTTTACTATTTGAGCAGCTTGCACCGCAAACTTGCAAGGAGGACTGATATCCACCAGCTTGGGAAATTGCACTGAATTACCCACGTGCTAGTACACAGAATATGGTGCTGGTGGTAACACTATCAGCCCTTTGCATATCTAAATTCAGCAAGGTAGAGGTATTCCAAATATAGATCTAGGGGGTGTCATGCTGTCTGCTGCAGTCAAGTGATTTGGGGTGTTAATTTAGAAGGGTATCCCTTCTTCTATTCTCCTAGTGTGAGACTTTGGATAAGGCTGCCAAAACGTGGCTTAAATTGTTATTCCATTCTGAAAGATCAACTTGGACTCCTGGGAGCCCTGAAGGACCCTCCAGGAGATCTCAAATCTTGTATTTCAAGTAGCTGAAGTATGCAAAGCACACACAACTAACAGTCCATCAGAAAATCAGTTTTAACTTGGAAAGTTATAAAACAATACAACAATAGCTGGAGGAAAAAATCCCCCAGAGAAGCTTCATACTAAGGGTTTTTACTAACTTACACCCTTTGGCTAGTGCAAGAAATTAAGGAGTAAGTAGCAGTGCCAGAGGGGAAAACAAAACACCATGTTTCAAGCTAGTAATGAAGTGGGTTTGAGTTACAAACAGAGGGAGAGGCAGATTTAGCAGTTAGTGTTGAGCAGCTGCAGAGGAGCAAGCTTAGAACAAAATTTAGTTAACTGCAAGATTCTGCCTCCAAATACCACATTGTTACTACACTGATGAACTTGCCATTTAGGCCAACCTTTGTCATGTTACTGGGTTGAATCATACACAGAATTTTTTCCCTTCTGAAGAGCTGCAGATTGAAAACCTATCAACAGCGGTTGTGGAGGTTTGCTCCAAGCTTTCCCACACAGATTTGGGCTCCTACAGTGTCTGGGGATTATTTTTTCCTCCCCCACTCCTTGGAGAAACTTAGAGGCAAAGATATTTCATAATCAACCCACCTTAACAGTGTCAAAGGGGTGTCCTACCAGCACTCCAGCAGCACCTGAAACAAAACAGCAGTGGTTATTACTCCTGGTGTTCTTTCCCAGCTCTGGGGGTGCAGTAGCCCAAGCAGAATCACCAACCCAAGGTGTGAGTGGACAGCATTGTTGGCAGGCCTGATAAAGAACATCCTACCAAGTCAGAAGATAATAGACCTACATTTCAGTCCTTCAGGCCAGTGCTAGGTGCCTTTATTCTGCTTGTGGAGCTTCTGAGCCCCAATCAGGGGTTGAGGTGTGTGACTACAGTGTGCCACATCACACAGAACACGAAGCAGCGATTCCTGGCCTTGGCCCAAGGCAAATCCAGTGGGCAGAAAACGCAGGTTTCCTCTGAAGCACAATATTTCGTGTACCTGTCACTCTGTGCAGGCACAGAATATCTATAAACTTCTCTAAAGGTAGAACATTCCACCTGCTCCCTCAGTTTCTGCATATGTGACTACCACCTGAAGAGGGACCATGCATTACCAAAAACCTGTGCTTTATTCTAGCATCAGAGGACTTTTAGAAGTCACACGCAAGGCCTGTTAGTCACAGCAACCAAACAGAGGCATTTTGCACACACAGGCTGAAGCAATGAATCCCTTTAGCTCTCTGTGACCCAGCAATCCTTAATGACCACTGACAACAGCTATGTGACTACCACCTGAAGAGGGACCATGCATTACCAAAAACCTGTGCTTTATTCTAGCATCAGAGGACTTTTAGAAGTCACACGCAAGGCCTGTTAGTCACAGCAACCAAACAGAGGCATTTTGCACACACAGGCTGAAGCAATGAATCCCTTTAGCTCTCTGTGACCCAGCAATCCTTAATGACCACTGACAACAGCGAGAACTACCAGAGCTTCAGTGCACCTTCCCACGTTTGCCGAAAGACATGCGGGGGAGGGGGGGAAATAATCATAATGCTAAAAAAATAAAAATATGATGGGGGAAAGGAGGGAGAGGGGGATGAAAGGAAAATGTAAAAGCATACATCTTCCCAGTCCTGGGGAAGATGTGGCAGCAATATAGCCCACTCTAGGATGGTGCAGCCCATGCTGCTCAAGGCCAGCACAGCAGCAAGACAGCCCAAGATACAAAAATAACCATGTGCACTGTGTTCAGCATGGAAAGGCCAACGGCACAGCTGACCCCGACGGATCCGCGGCAGAGCAAGGATCGCTAGGATGAAGCCAGAAAAAAACAAACCCACGAAGAAATCTCTTCGCCAGGTTGGCAAGGAGAACAGCAAACGCAAATACCCGAAAAGACGCGAGAATAAATCTCCTGAGCACGATTTAAGAGCGGCTAAAAATAGCCGGCGGCAGCGGGCGCGGAGCGAAGCGCAGCTCTGCGCTCTCCTCTCCCCGTGCCTCCGGTCTCTTTCTTCCGCATTTTCAAATTTCGGTTTGTTTTATCTTTTTCCCCCCCGTTCTCCGCCTTTTTTATCCCTTCCCCCCGTTTTTTCTTCCCCATCCCCACCA